AGGTTGAAAAGGCGGAGGAGGAGGCGGAGGAGAAAGAGGAGGAGGAGGAGGAGGAGGAGGAGGAGGAGACACATAGGGAAAAGGAGGAGGAACAACACCACTGGTGTCTGCAGCCACTGCAATCGCAGGACTCCGACGACGATGATGACGAGGAGAGAAGGGTGATGATGAGGAGGAGGATGAGGAGGATCATGATGAGGACGAGCAAGAGGAGGAAACGTAGCAGCAGCAGGCAGTACCCTCTGTTAACCCTTGACCAGAAACCACCCCCCTGAGAGGAGGTCAGCAAACGTCGCTCAAACTGTGAATCTGCCACCTCACGACTCACCCACCCCGCTCTCCCTACTCCTCTCCCTCTCTAAGCTCGTTTCCTCCTCTCTCTCTTCCCTTGCCCGATCTCTCCCTCAGCCTCTTCCATCCCGTCCTCCTCCTCCTGCTTCTCCTCTCGCTCCCCGCAGCCAGTTTGGCTCAAGGACGGCCCAAGAGGCTTCAAGGATCGTCCCAAGACCCGCCTCTGCTCTGTTACTGTGCCGTTCCGCGCATCATGGAGTTCTGCTCGACCTGCGGAGGAAATCTCTCGCAGGGAGGCTGCTCGTGCGGAGCTCGTTCGAGGAAAGCAGGAAACATCTGTCTGGCGAATTTGGACGCGATCAAGTATTTGGGGAAGAAGCTTGATGGGGTTGGGGGCAAGGTCGATAACATGGACATGAAGCTCATTGATCTCTCTCTCTCTCTCTCTCTCCTAAGATGGAGATGGTGGAGACGGAGAAAAGGTGGATGATCATGAGCGCCGCTTGGCAGCCCTCGAGGATCGGAGGCACGGGACCGATTCCCAGGAGCCCGCAGGCGATCAGGCCTACGTCTCGCGGAACAAGCGCACGGTGATCTACGTGGGGCGGCGTCGGGGACACCGTGAAAATCGAGATCGAGACTTTCCTTACAGATGTCAAGATGAAGGAAGAGGGTTGCATTTGAATCTGTGTGTGCGGCAAAGTTGCACCAGGGGGCAAGCTTGTTGACGATTCTTCGGACCGTGTGTGGAAGGTGCTTGTCAGACATGCGCAGGGAGAAGCAGTTCGAGCACAAGGGGAAGCCTCTCTTCCACCGGATCGATTCCACGGTCTGTGAGAAGAAGCTCGCGATGCGGACCTCGAAGGCGATCGACGTGCTCCGGGACCCATCTGATAGACAGGCACTCGTTCTCCGCCGACCGTGCGGAGCAGGTGTCCTCCGCTTCCTCGGCGGGCCGCGACGCTGCTTGCCCGCCCGCTCGGCACCCCCGGTGGGATGCCGTGGCCCGCCCGCCGGCACCCCTGCCCGTCTGGGCCCGCACGCTCGCGGGCGTTCAGCAAGACGACGAGGACGACGACGAGGATGACGAGCAGGGCAAAGAGAGCGAGACGGTGCCGACCAGGCAGACGACAACGGCGGCCCCCGGCGAAACGGTCCGCTCGCGAAAGGGTCTGCCGAGACTCGCTGGCGCAAGGCTCCCCGGCAGAGCGGTCCCTGGCGGAATGGCACATGGGCGTGATGATCCGGGCGAAGCGGTCCGCTGGCGAAGTGGTGTCGTGTCTTCCTCAGCCCCTCCCCCTAAGGAGCCTTAGGGGGTTTTCTGCCAACGAGCATTTCAGTCGAAATTATATCCAGGAGTGTTGTTGCCCGTGCATGTTTGACATGTCTTTGCGCTCGGGTTCTCCATTGCCGTTTTGGCTCAAGTGCCGTTATTTCCAGCTGGATATTACGCACGGCCTTGGCGTTCGACGCGCTCTACAGCTTTGGGCGAGCGGCGCGCCGAAGGAACTTGAGGGCGACCCAGAAGGGCTGCAACACAAGGTACGGAAAGAGCTTACGAATGGTGAACGCTCCTGTCCAGCTGCGCGTGCTGTTATGAGAGCGGTCCGACGAGCGGGGGGCCCTCTCCCATCGAAGGCCAGGTCGTGGAGAATAGGCGCAACAGCCTCGTCCAGGAGACCATTCTGGAGCTGCTGGTGCCCGCCTTTGTTCCTCTGGACAGCCTCTTGCTAGAAAGGGGTCGGGGAGTTCCGGCTAAGGCGCCAGTGCGCGAACCGCCAGATCGCGTTGTTGTTAGTCAGCACGCAGCACGAGCAAGTTGTGGTCAGAGGGTTGCCCAGATCGCGAGTGATCTGCACACGGTCAGGCATCGTTGAAGCTTGTTTCGGTGGATATGGCGTGGCACCAGCACACGCGCCGTTTGATCGACTTCAGCACGGCAGCCCTCGTCCCTGGTTGAAGCAAGCAGGAGATTTTGTTTCGAACGCACCCATGCTGCCCGATTCGCTGCGGCTCACCGCTGGCGAGGCGGCAGCCCGTCTGGGCCGCGCGCCTGGAGCTGCTGCGCGTGCGGGTCCCCCTGCTGCCCGGCCCGCGCGGGCTCGCCATCGGCGAGGCGGCAGTTTGCGTGGGCCCCCCCTCTGCTGCCTGGCTCGCGTCGGCTCACCGCCGGTGAAGCAGCCGCTTGGTGAGCTCTTCACGCTGTCGGGCTCGTGTCGGCGCATCATTCCTTCAGTCGGCCGTCTGGTTCGCCCCTCCCCTGCTGTCCGACTCGCGTCGGCTTACAGTTCGGTGAGGCAGCAGCCTGCTTTGGGACCCCCCTTTCTGCTGCCCGACTCGCGTCGGCTCGCCGTTCGGTGAGGCAGCAGTCCCAGTGGGCCGCACGCCAGGACTGGTAGGCCCTCTGCTGCCCGGCCTGCGTCGGCTCGCCGTGGCGAGGCAGCTGCTTGCGTGGGCAGTCCCCAGCTGCCTGGCTCGGGTCGGGTCACCGTCGGTGAAGCAGCAGTTCATTTGGGCCACTCTTGCTGTCCAGCTCGTGTCGGCTCACTACTCGGTGCGGCAGCAGCCTGCTTCGGCCTCCTGCTGCCCGACTCGCGTCGGCTCACCATTCCGTGAGGCAGCAGCCTGCTTCGGGGCCCACCGCTGGTGAGGCAGCAGTCCGTTGGGGCCGCACGCGCAGGCTTGTGGCGTTCGGCCACCTGCTACCCTGCCCGCGTCGGCTTGCCACCAGCGAGACAGCTGTTAGCTCAAAGCAAACTGCAGCTCCAGCGGGCTGTTGCCCAGTGGCGTCGCCTCCGGAATCGTTGTGGCGGGGGGCACTGCGTTGCCGGGTCTTCCCCCTGTGACCTATCACGCTGGGTGGGTTGGCCCCGACCTCTGTTGTCCAGGCGCTCCTGTGCGAGGCGGGGTGGACTCATAATTGCGATGTGGTCCCAGTCCCCGTCGCCGAGGAAACTCGGTGGGCAACCTCGTCCTCTGCGACCCAGTTCTCTGGGTGAGGCGGGGTGGGCCAGTAATTGGTGGTCAAGTCAGGCGAGACTGCCGGCGGCTCGCGCCAGAAGCGCTCTTGCCTGTCGGGCGCGACTGCCGATGACTCGCGCCCGGGGGGGGGGGGCCTGCTAAAAGAGTGTATGTGTCCAGCGCCCTGCTACCCAGCCTGCTGGGTGGGCGGCCCTGTCTTCTTCTGCCCCAGTCTCCTGGGCGTGACGAGGAAGACTGATGTTCGCGTGCGTGCGGTCCTTGGCCCTGTTACCCAGTTAGCTGAGTGGGCTGCCCCATCATGCGTCGCCCAAGTCTCCTAGGCGAGACGGGAATTTCGTCCGCAGATGAAAAATAGAAACAACGTGTATTTGCAATCAGGTGGCTGGACGCGTGCTCCTACCCTAGCCCTGATCCCGTCCTCAGGTTGACCCAGCCCCTGGGTGAGGTCATCGCGGGTGCCCCTTCACACGAAACCGCATGCTAGGGCGTGGCGGGTCCAGCGGAGCGAGGCACCGCGCGGATCTGAGCCAGACCTCGCCGTCCCTGGGGGGCTGCGATCTGCGAGGCCGTCGCAACGTTCGAGGGCTGCTGGTGGAGCCAGCGGAGTGAGGCACCGCGCAGATCTAAGCGAGACCTCGCCGTCCCTGGGGGGCTGCGATCTGTGAAAATGTCGCCACCTTCGAGGGCTGCTGGTGGGTCCAGCGGAGTGAGGCACCGCGCAGATCTGAGCGAGATTTCGCCGTCCCTGAGGGGCTGCGATCTGCGAAACCGTCGCCATTTTCGAGGGCTGCTGGTGGGTCCAGCGGAGTGAGGCACAGCGCAGATCTGAGCCAGACCTCGCCGTCCCTGGAGGGCTGCGATCTGCGAACATGTCGCCACTTTCGAGGGCTGCTGGTGGGTCCAGCGCAGTGAAGCACCGCGCAGATCTGAGCGAGACCTCGCCGTCCTTGTCGCCACTTTCGAGGGCTGCTGGTGGGCTCAGCGGAGCGAGGCACCGCGCGGATCTGAGCGAGACCTCGCCGTCCCTTGGGGGCTGCGATCTGCGAACATGTCGCCACTTTCGAAGGCTGCTGGCGTGTCCAGCGGAGTGAGGCACCACGCAGATCTGCTCGAGACCTCGCTATCCCTGGGGGTCTGCGAGCCTCACGAATGCCGCTCGCAGAATTATATGCGTCCATTTCACGTCATCACCTCTTTATAACGTGTCCCAGGCTACTCGTGCCCCGCATTGCGCAGGGGTTGGGTACGTTGCCAGGGTGATTATTTTGTTTGTTGATTTGTTTGTTGTCGCTGTCTGATTTTGTTTACCAATGGTTTTCATTGCTTCCGCCCTGAATGAGGAAGCCGACTGGGAGGAGGAGGAGGAGGAGGAAGAGGAGGAGGAGGAGGAGGAAGACGGAGGAGTAAGACGGAGGACCAAGAGGGGAAGAGAGAGAGAGAGAGAGACACGGAGAATGGATGGAAGACGGGAGTCCCACGAGGATCAGGAAATGGTCCCGCGCGCGAGTCCCACTTCGTCCCTCCCAAGCCCTTGAATGGTTCTGAATGACGGATCTTGAGATCGCGCGGGGTCCGAAACCGAATTGGATCCGGGACACATTACAATCGCGGGAGGGGGCGGGGGGGGCGGAAAGAGAATGGATGGGAGGGAGGGATTGGATATCAGATATGGCGCGAGAGCACCTAGCCTGCACCATCCTTTCTCCGCATCCGCCCTTCTGTGCGAGGAGCGCACCCGGGCAGCTGTGGCGGACAAGTTCGTCCCCGAGGGGTGGTGCCTCCCAGAGGCTCTGGAGGGCAGTGAAAAGGCGAGGAGGAAGGAGCGCGGAGAGGAGCAGACGGAGCGAAAAAAGGGTTGAAGATCAAGGAGAAGGAGGAGCATAGCCGCCAGCAGCGGCAGTGTCAGGAGGAGGAGGAAGAGCAGCATTAGGGAGGAAAAGGAGGACGCTTAGGCGGAGCATCAGGAGGAGGAGGAGGAGGAGGAGGAGGAGGTAGATAAGGAGGACGTGGAGGAGAAGGAGCGGGAATGAAGAGGAGGAGGAAGAGGAGGAGGAGGAGGAGGAGGAGGAGGAGGAGGAGGGGACGAATATAGGGGCGAGGCAGGGGGAGACGGATAGTATCAGGAGAGCTGGGAGGGGCAGGACCAGGAGGATGGAGGAGGGGGAGGTGGGGAGGGTGGCGCCCGAAAGTCCCCCCTCCCCCAGGGCCCAGGAGCGCCGGTCCTCCGCGACGCCCAGCGCCTGCTGGAGGGCAGCGAGCCCGCGGGCGAGGCGGTCTTGCGCTGGCACCTCGGGGGCCCTTCGATACGATGACTGACCTCTCCGTCTGCTCCCCATTCTTGGTGGTTTGGGGGAACAGGCGGGGAGGATGATGATCGACAAGGAGGAGGAGAAGCAGGACAGGAGGAGCAACACGCCCTGAGCGTCCCAAGCCCCCTCCTCACAATTCTTTGCACGCTTACCTGGTTGTTCGAAGAACGCCCTATTAAAAGACCAGCTTCCAATGAGCCTGCCCTTCAGGCGAGAGCCTTGTTTTGAAAAGGAGCTGCTTTCCATCGTTCCAGCAGGCAGTCAGGATTGCAAACATGGAAGAACATGCAAGATATATCTAAAGCGTCAAACATCATGACTTCGAGGTATGGGAAGTTTGTGAAGAACGAGAAGGGAGAAATGAAACGTACCATCAGATTACGCCTGGTGCTTCGAGGTTCCATGGACCTTGAAGCCTTCGATGTGGAAACCTTTTCGGGAACAGTACGGCAGGCAAACCAGAGGCTACTCGCGAGCACGGCAGCGTGCAAGAAACAATGGGCCATTGCTTTCCTCGACATCAGCATGGCCTTCCTGAAAGGGTTGACCTACCAGGAACTCGCTGAGGCAACTGGTGAAAAGGAACGTGTGGCGTTCTTGACTCTGCCGCCTGGATCGGCTACGGTGCTTCGAACTCTCTCAGGATTCGAACGCCACGACGGTTCGAAGCACTGCTTGCAGTGCCTTAAGCCAGGCACTGGCGCCAAGGACGCATCTCGAGCTTTCTCACTAAAACTAAGAACGGCCACAGGAGGTTTGGGTCTCAGACCCGCGCCCTACGACGGGGAGTCCGAGACGAGCGGAAACCTGCTCACGGCCAAACACGTTGATGTCATCAATATGGCCGGCACAGAGGACACCGTTGACAAGTGCGTCAAGTGCGTAGAAGACGCTTTTGGCAAGTGTAAACCTCGCAAGCACACGTGCACAAATTGTGCTGTGATGTATACCAACGATGAGGACGGCAGTGTTACTTTGAACCAAGACGAATACATCAAACAGTTCCGTTCTATACAGCGCCCTGAACTTACAGGCGCTGGCGCTGACGCGCAAGCGTCCAAGATGGTTGCAGACATGTTCGTCCGCCTTAGAGGCGCATTGGAGCATGCATTAATCACCCGGGCGTGGCTGATGGTGTATGTTGTTTTCCTACAACGTGTCCAAGAACCGACCAACATACAAGTGCGACGACTGAACGCGATTACCAGGAAACTGCAGGTGTGCCCTATGAAGATCGTCTGCCAGGCGATGACCCACACTGGCGAGGCTGACCTGCACAGCGACTCAGGTTACTGACGCCTGGGTGGAGATGCCGATGACGAAGTCAAAGGCTATGGTATTCGCGGGGCTAACCTGCTACGGAATGGAAGCACGCCATCCGGTAAGCCCGTCGCTCACTTGATCGATGCGTACTGCAAGTCTCACCGCTTGCAGGTCCGCTCGAGCTATTCAGCAGAGACACTAGCCGCAGCCCGCAACTTGGAGGACTGTTACCCCACGATCGTGACTCTGCACGAGCTCCACGCAGGGCCGTTCACTCCCACTCAGTTGGAAGACATTATTGAGTTGGGTGGCCTGAGCACCAAGGTCACTTTGACCGTATATGCTGAGTATGATTGTAAGTCCTTGTCAAGCAAAGACTTGAAGAAGCCGACTGGGCGCACCCTTTTAGGACACATCAGCTGGATACGACAGATGATGGAGCGAGAAATCGTGCACAGTATTCAGTGGTGTGACACCCGCGATATGACCGCGGACCGTCACAACAAGGGGATCATCGACAGAGAACTGCTCCTACAGGTCATGGGAGGTAGACAATCCTTCAAACATGATTTAAAGCGTCATGCTCCCTATCGGGCTGGCCAGGCATCCCGTTCTGTAGCCGCCTGAGGAGTGCTCGTATGCACAGTATCGTGCAGGCGAGGCAACATGCGTGCGGGTCCGCTTCCTTACGGCCCCGCCGTTTTGCTGCCCTTTTGTAAATGGTCGCTGCTGTACCTGCTGCATAGAGGTGGCGGGGTCACGCTTCGTCTTCCTCCCCCCCCCCGACTCTAAAGTGAGCTGGGTGTTGCATGTGAGCGGGAACGAGCGTGCATCCGCGGCTGCTTGGCTCAAAGCGGCCGGCCGCCCAGATCTGACTACACCTCAGCGCGAGGTGTACCATTTGCCATCGATACCAAAACTGCTTGAGATGGCTCGCCCCCTACTATTGGGATTCTCGTTACTACGGCACAACAGAGCGGGAGGTGGGCTTCGCCTCAGGCGAAGCTGCTGATTGGGCCGCCCAACCCCTTTCAAACTATCTTGGGCGTCTTGGACCAATATTTGAGCAACTCGGGGCCATCCTGGACCGTCTTGGGGGCCTCTTGGGGCCCTCTTCGCCCGTCAGCGAGGCTTTCGGGCCTCTGGACAAGTTATGCGGGGAAGCTTGGGAGAGCGCGGGGCCGCCCATAATATTTGAGATGGTCGGTTGCCTGCCCTTTATTAGGAATATGTCAGCCTGGAATACAGAATGAATAGAATTCCAGAAGTATGGGGAACAATCTACTTCGTGCCTCGAAGCACGGTGCCGCATAAGTGATGCAATCTATGTGGCGCAAAATGCGCGGCTCAGTACAATTGGTGCATGTTGTGTGACGCAAGCTAGGGGTGCAGAGCATGTGGTGCAGTACGCGTGACGCAAGATGTTGCGTTCACTGTTATGCAGTCTAGGTCGTGCAATACATGTGTTGCAAGAGATGTGGCGCAAACCATGTTGTGCAGCATGCGTGGTGCAAGCTATGCTGTGCAAACTATGTCGTGCACTTATGGGTTGCAAGCCGTGTGGGCGGGGCAAGCTATGTGGCGGAATCCTTGTGTGCATCAAACACAGCCAGCCAGCGCATGCGGCGCCAATGAGGCTCTCCGCGGCGCCCACTGGCCGAAAGTGTGGAACACCAGCCAGCTCGCAAACCGCCCACGTGGCGTCCCTGAGGCGCCCACGGGCGCCCACTGGCCGAAAGCTGGGGAACGAGCCAGCCCACGGGGCGCCCACCGCGCGCTCCAACCCAGAGTCGCAGGCCAGCGCACGCGGCGCCCACCTGGCGACAGCCTGGAAAAGCAGGCCAACGACTTGGAAGCTCAAGGACCGTAGACACGTAAACGGCGATGCAGGCAGCGGCGATGTAGGCTCCGGCATTGTGGGCGGGGGTGGTCCGCGGCCAACCCAATTGCAGGAAGGCGCTGCTCGTGCGTTCCTGCACTTCGTTCTGCGCGAGCTGGGCGCCGTTAAGACCAGATCCCCGACATCGCCGTGAAGCAGCGTCGCCGTTAGCTTGGCCTTGGAAGGAGGACCCCCCAAGACCCCGACAAGCCCGAGAGAAGCCCCTGAGAGCGTTGGGAGCGGTGTGGATCCGCGGCCTCCGAGGCTCGGCCCGGCGCTCGGGGCGCTGCACTTCAACGCGTTCCGTCTGCCCGAGAGGGGCGCGCTCGGCCTCTACGCCCCGTGCGAAGCGGAGACCCCGTCCCGCCCCGCCTCGTCATCGCGGCCTTCTCGTCCTCTCCCTCCTCGCTCGTCCTCCCACTCCTGATTGCTCCTTCTCCACCTTCAGCCCCCCCTCCTCTCTCCGCCTCCCCATCCGCCTCCTTCTCCTCCTCATCTTCACCCTCATCATTATCCCTCCATCCTCCTCGCATGGGATCAAATGTCGTCAAAGAAGCGCACTGAACAAAACCTAAAGATACCGAGAAAGCTATTGCTATGCTACCGCGTCATTCGAGTCTGGGTTATGGGTTTCCCCGCGTTTTCCCGGCAACCAGAGATGCAGGTGGAGGTGAAGACTCAACGATAATTGAAAATACCAGTGCCGACAGGAGTAGGACCCCGTGCACATTGAGTACCCAACGAAGGCGTTGCAGCCATTCGCGGAGACCACACGCATTCTTATACATAAAGGCAAAGACCAAGAGACGGCCTCCATGGACGAGTAGAACAAACACAAAACACCGCAGTGTCAGCCTGGCGGCTGCAACCAGGCCCCCACATATGGTGACATTCTCACGAACTCGGAGATGACCGAGCTTAAGAGGAATCCCACGGATCTCGCTTACGCAGTAGAGCCCAACAGGAGTGCACGATCGAAGTCGCATGAGGTCGGCATAGTCAGCTTATGTGCTGAATCCCCTGGCTCAGCATCGGACGTCGCTTCCGAAGTGGCAGCGGCGCTTCGCTGATGCATCGGCCTCCAAGAACACCTCGAACGTACACGTGACGGGCAGTTCGGACTCCGCTTGCCTCGTCGAGCTGATTCTGCAGCTCAGTCACGCACGTCTCCGGACGCGCGCTCCTCGGGTTCATGGCCGCCCCGTCCGTGGTCCGTGCGGCGTTCCCCCTCGCGCGGCACGGCGTGGGCACGAGGCCCCAGCGCGCAGGAGTGCGGTGAAGGGATGGCCTGCGCTCGTCGTCATCTTCAGGAGTCGCCACGCCACGATTGTTTGTCCAGACCCCAGAGGTCGGGGCGGTGCGCGTCGACAGAACAGTTTTTCAAATCGTTCGCGCGCCAAGCATGTTGCGACCGCCAGACCCAGACTGACCCTGGTGGAGTTCAGTGTTCCGGCTCACTCACTGGTCAAATGACGTTCGAAACGATCTCGCATGCCGCGGCCGCCAGACCCCAAGTGCTCTTGGTGGTGGCCCCTGATATCCCGCCTCGCGTTCTCGACCAATAGCGGCAGGGGCGATGACAAACCCAAATCAAGCACACAACTGCAAGACGTAGACACCACAGTTCATCAACAGACATACAGAGCACACGAGCATGCCGCATGCCATGCATACATAACAGAAGGAGGCGCGCACACATAAGTGAAACACATCGCATACATAGCCAAGAGCACTCAACAAGACACATGAACAGATAGCCAGACGAAGGATCATACTTCCTATGTTTCCCGAGCGGCGCTCGCACTTAGGAGTCGCTATCTCTTCTCGCAGGATCTGGGCCTGCCCGTTGGCATGGAGGCCTACGTGGTCGCCGTCGTCGCACCGTCTTCGCCTCGTCGCCGCCCGCCTCCTGCGCCCTACCGGCGGCGAGGCCGCAGCGCGTCGGGCTGCCGCGCCGCGGTGCGCGGCGCAGGGGCAGAGGTGGCCGGAGAAGGAACGGACGCAGCCCCGATCAGCGGCGCCGTAACCCCAGACATGATGGCGTCGTAAAAAAATCAGGACGGGCGGTTTGGGGGTATTTTCGCCCTCTAGAGGTCCTCGCCGGGCCTCGGGACCGTCAAAACACGACTCAGGACGAAAAACCGGTCCCGGGGAAAGGGTCGGGACTTGCGGGGACGCCGTCCTGAAAAAATCAGGACGTCGCATGTCTGGGACGGGTGCTCACCAACGGGTACTTTGCAGCATTGCCGAAGGTTGCCACTTTAGGGCCTCTTGCTGGCATGGCAGCGTTGCCCACATCGGGGAGGATTGGGTTCGCTGGGCCACTGGCCAAAGCACCCGTCAGTGAAGTCCCCGTCAGAGGGGCGCTGACCCGAAACCGGTGCACGGCATCACGGCTAGCAGCAAGACGGCGCCCGGAAAAATGAGCGGAACAAGATCGTCAGGACCAACAGGGGCCGTCCGAGGAAGCCGAAGGGCAACGCGGGAGGCGAGCATGTGGAAAACACAGGGTTGCGAAACATCAGTTTTCGAAAAGGTCTGCGCGCTCTTGCGAATTCTGTAGAAACCGATCGGTGTTCAACATGTTCATGCAATTCGTCCAAACGGGTCTCACGCGCCGCATGTCGAAATCATTCGAACGCCTTTGCGCGCGTGCTGACAGGGGGCACGATCCCTGTCAAATGATACCACGTGGCCGCTCGCGCGCGTCGGCCGCGCGCGCGTGTCGAATTCCTTCCACTACCTTCATCACCGACGCGAGGACACCGTCATCGTCATCGGCGTGATCAGCATAGGCGCCGTCATTGGCTTTGCCGCCGTCATCGTGAGTATCGTCACCACTATCGTTACTATCATCATCGTGTCTACCGTTGTCGACGTCGCCATGACACCGCGCCCGCCCAAATCATCGAATCGTACTGAAGCGCCCGCTGGGAAGTGCCCGGCGGTCAGCGCCACCGCGGCCGCGTCGGTCGCGTCAAATTTAGGTGGCCGCCGTTCTCTCGAGCATGCGTGGGCGAGCGCGGCCGCGGAGATGCACCAGCCACTGCGAAGCACGCGTCGCAATCGCCGCCGCATGGGTTTTACAAACCAAGTTGCGGGGCGGTGGAGGGGATGGTTGCGCGAGCAGTAGGGTTGACAATCGCACCACCCAGTCTGCTAGAGTACATTGCCTCAGGTTCACGTTTGCGTACATATTTCATATCCACAGCATGCTAGCTAGTAGGCGCGCGCATCATGAACACAACTTCCCTAAGGTTCAGGCGCGCCGAACACACATGCGTATCCACGTACACACGCACGCGTATAGCAGGCCATTTGTAAAACAACCTGCGTGGAAATACGCGCGTACAATAATCCATTGCAAGCCGTGCCGTGGAGTCTGTTCGTTATGGTCCCGTCCATAGCACAACCAAGCAATGCGATCACAACCAGCGTGGGTAAACAAATCAGATGGGTGACGTACGCATGTAGTTGGCATGAACCTTGTCCGCTGATGAAAGCAACGTTTGTAGCGTTCAACCGCAAACTATATAATACATGTCAGCTCCACGCATAAACGTCACTCGTGCGTAGCATACAGGCATGCATAGCAGGCGCTCATCTCATAGACCACGCATGGGTAGCGTACACAAAGAAACATGCATAGCACGCATATGTAGCAAACGTGCGTCAGACATACAGTGCAGACGATCACCACGCGCACTGTATGCAAACCCGCGACGTGTCCACGCATCCGGAATACAAGCGTGCACTTAGAACACTCACATACCAAATGCATGATTGCATTCGGGAATGACAACAAAAACCTCAACCATGACATGCACACAGGGCGCGCACCAATTAGAACATTGGTTGCCAACGTGCGGACACCGACCACTAACAACAATTGCATACAATGTTGGGAGACACAGATTATACAAGCTATGCGCGTGTAAAATATGCGACGGTCTTGCTGGCATGACACCGTCAACGAGCACTCGTACGTACAAAATGAACATGCGACATCATGAACCAGCTGCCACAGCAAACATACAAAACATAAGTGGGCGGTCAGCAAACATGCAAGACGAGTACCACCAAAGAGCGCACATATGTATCACCATTCAAGACATGCGCACAGAGACGCACGCATAACAGTCACCTGTTACGTATTTAAATACCGCACACAAGAAATGCAATCGCATCCCGCTTGGTTGACATCACGCACTACGAAGTTCGAAATCATTCGTGGTGCCTCCCTGGTGAGGTTCGCTCGGAACATGATAATACTGTTTCGTTGTAATCCTTTGAAGTCAGACAGCTTCGCATCCGGCAGGGAGCAGAAGGTCACAGCCCTGCGCCAAATCAAGAATGCGATTCGAGGAGCCCGATGGCACGAATGATGTTTGGATGAAAAGATGCGCCCGCAACAGTGGGTGGCAGGCTGGCAGTCATGACGCCGACGTGGATATCAAGATCCACGTAGTCCATTATACCGTATGGCTCGCCACCCATGAACACGCCGTTCTGGATGTCAGCCCGGCCGGTTCACGAGAAGTTGTCTTTCGCGTCGATGTTTGCCATGCTGTGCTTGTGCAGCCCTGGATCTCTGGCACGGTGGTCAAAATTGTGACATCCGCCGCGAGCCATTTTGTTCCCCCTTCTCCCCGGCCCACCCTGAGCCCAGAGTCCCGGAACAATTCTGACACTTGTGGTTCACAGTTTGGTTTTATTGAAGTGTTGTTTCAATGTTTAATCGGCAGGACCAGACTTCCTATGTCTGGCGTGAGTTGAAAGTAGATACCTCAAGCAACGAATTCACAGATCAGTCTTCGAGGACCCCTCGCTTGCAGCCCCGCGCGCCGTGTGCTCGTGCTGCACAGGTGACCGGCTGGTGTCTGGTTCAGGTTTGCAATCATATGGGCCATCGTTCCATTTCGTGTTCGTGTTACTTGTTGTAGCTTGCTCCTTGTTGTTGGGGCAATTACGCCAGCCGCACTTCTGTGCGACGGCTGTTCTGATTAATGCAGCTGTAGTCGATTAGTGCGTCCCTTTCGTCCCTTGGTTTGTTACATTGTTGTGTTGGGCTTCCTTTTGCCCCACAGGCTACTTGCAAAGTCATGATATTATGCCACAGCGTGACATTGTACTTCTCAAGAAGTCCCAGGGACATCAGGTAGCTTCAGTCGCTACAGCATGATGTTTTGCAGCTTGACGGGCATGGCCCTCCACTCTGAGTCCGCGCCAACCGGAGCCTTGTCTCCTCGTGCAGCTGAACATGTTCACTCATTAGAACCGAATGTTCGAGTGAGTCTGCCTGATTTCTCGGATGTATCCTCCTCGTGTGGAGTGTCCAGCTCCGTGGGCGTCCCGTGTGG